TGTGTAGGTACAGCAGGGGGGTGCATAAATATAATAGAATATATATATATATTTAAACTAGGGGTGTAACGATACCCTCATGTCACGATTCGATGCATATCACGTAGGGGTGGGAATCTTTGGTCACCTCACGATCCGATCCGATTCCGATTCTGGGAGTCACGATCCGATTCCAGAACGATTCTTTATCTACCCCCCCCCCGCCCCCCCCCCCCCCCCCCCCCCCCCCCCATTCATTAGTTTACATAAGTAATTAAGTACTTTTTAAAAAATAATTACAAATTAATATTTTTTTATTAAAACAGTTGTATGTTAAGAAATTTAAACTAATATAACAAATAATAAACAAAAAGAGCTTTTAGTAGCCTATAGATTATCTGAACGTTTTCCATTCAAGAACTGTGAGTCATTTTTCTTCATCTTTACTGTTGTTTTTTACTATGACATCATAGACTGCGGGAGATCTATTAAGCTGTATTCACTCACGCATCTCTTTTGAAATAAAAGAAGTAATGCGGTGTGTCCTGTCCGTTTAATCCCTTAAGACATAACTGGCTGTGTTTACGTTAATTTTGCACAAGTACATTAAACCACTACACGGAGTCGCACAGCCGCATGCGCGGCAGCGCGAGCAGTCTCACGGTACTGATCCACTTGTCCGTGCGACACTTCAGTCGCGCCGCACTCCACTTTATTCCTATGGGTGACGTCACGCGACTTTAACGCGCCCGCAAAGCATCCCGGGAAGGCGGCGCTTCATTTGAAAAAATGCTTCGCGTCCAAAAGCTGGCCGATGCCCAGCTTTATGCAAATGAATCCGTCAAACGCGAAGCGTCTATCCAATAGAAGTAGAGCATATGGAGACGGGGGGAAGTCTCTCGCAAGTCCTCTGTTCTAGACTGGCCGCTGGCTCAAAACCCCGCCCATAGCGGTAAACACGAGGAACGCCCATCAATGTACAAATGTGGGGAGGCGTCACGACACCACGCTTCAGTCGTGTCGCAAAAGTGGATCAGTAACGTCAGTCGTGTCGCAAAAGTGGATCAGTACCGTCACGGTACTGATCCACTTGTCCGTGCGACACTTCAGTCGCGCCGCACTCCACTTTATTCCTATGGGTGACGTCACGCGACTTTAACGCGCCCGCAAAGCATCCCGGGAAGGCGGCGCTTCATTTGGAAAAATGCTGCGCGTCAAAAAGCTGGCCGATGCCCAGCTTTATGTAAATGAATCCGTCAAACGCGACGCGTCTATCCAATAGAAGTAGTCTCTCGAGGGGCCTTTGTTCTAGACTGGCCGCTGGGTCAAAACCACGCCCATAGCGGTAAACTTGAGGAACGCCCATCAACTTACAAATGTGGAGAGGCGTGCGACACCACGCTTCAGTCGTGTCGCAAAAGTGGATCAGTACCGTCACGGTGCAGATCCACTTGTCCGTGCGACACTTCTGTTGCGCCGCGCTCCACTTTATTCCTATGGGTGACGTCACGCGACTTTAACGCGCCCGCAAAGCATCCCGGGAAGGCGGCGCTTCATTTGGAAAAATGCTGCGCGTCAAAAAGCTGGCCGATGCCCATCTTTATGCAAATGAATTCCGTTGAACGCGACGCGACTATCCAATAGAAGCAGAGCATATGGAGACGGGGGGAAGTCTCTCGCAGGTCCTCTGTTCTAGACTGGCGCTGGCTCAAAACCCCGCCCATAGCGGTAAACTTGAGGAACGCCCATCAAAGTACAAATGTGGGGAGGCGTCGCGACACCACGCTACAGTCGTGTCGCAAAAGTGGATCTCTACCGTCACAAACAAAGCGCGCGTCAGCATTTGAAATTGAAAGCAGCCTTCTGTTAGTGAGGTTCATATTTTAAATATATAAGTCCACTGCATTCCAAACCACATAAATGATGACTTCGTAGAGCATTTGTAAGGAAAATACCGACGGGCGAGACAGCACTTCAAGTGTAACATCAAAGAAAGCGCGCGTCTCTCACAGCGTGTGCAATGAAGCCTGTGAATGTCCTTGTAATTCGCTTCAACCTTTCCGAACTTTATGAAAGATTATTTTACGGAAGGTTCGAGTGGTGTATGTGTGTGAGGAATTGGAATCAAGCAGAATACGGGTGTTTCTAAACCAAACTAAACGTCATAGCACATCTGGTTAAAAACTAAGCTCAGAATCGATTCTGGAATTCTCAGAATCGATCCAGAATCGTTGGAGAGAGAATCGCGATGCATCGATGGATCGATTTTTTCTCCCACCCCTAATATCACGATACTGAACTCACGATACGATATTATTGCAATACTCCAAGACATATGATAAAGGGTTAACAAAAAATGTACTGTTGATTAAAATGCTAAATTTGATATTACATTGTGGGTTTAAATGAATAGGCTTGGACTTGGTGCTGGAAACCCAAAGCACAGGACAATAGAGACACCAGAATAAAAATATTCAAGATTCTGAAGCTGAAAATACTGAATTATTTTAGATGAATAGGCTTGCACTCTTTCACTGACTAGATACATTTAAAATAATGTCGGCCACTTTTTACTGGTAACATCAGACATTTGGCATTATCAGGACCCACAAATATTCCCACATTGTATTATTATACATTATAATCAACATTATATATAGTAGTTTAATGTAGTACTGACACTAAAACTCTGAAAACTTGAATTTTTTCTCACACAGTAATTTTTATTTTGGGGGGACTATCCACGATACATATTGTCACTATCCACGATACGTATTGTTGCATTTTTGTATTGCGATATATTGTGGCACGATATATTGTTACACCCCTAATTTAAACTCTTAAATCATCACACTCATGAAAAACCACCATTAAACATGCAAGTCTAGATGAATCCAGGACATGGAAAGCAATATAAACACAAGTGGGTTAACTGAGAAAATAGGTCAACTCTAGTTTAGCATCATATTTTGTTTATACACTTTGTTGACTGTAATATATATATATATATGTTTCCCCAAGGCTGCAGGCTGGAGAGAGACAGTATCACAATTTTTAGAAACAAGGTTTAGCCAAAAAACATCCATATGTTTCATGAGTTTTTTTGCTCCAGGACTGTGAGCACAGCGTAGTGCAGCTTTCCCGACCTATGAGGATCAAAAAGACTCCGTTCAGATCCCGTCAGTCCATGAGGACCAATAAGAGTGCGCTGACCAACCAAAGCCCTGATAGGACAAGCAAAGAGCCCTCGAATGAGACGACCACAGTCGATGATCAACAGAGTGTTCCGGTTAATGGATGCGTGACTGAATCTGAAGAGGATAAAGGTGAACAGCGAGCCACATGTGTTTATCTTCCCTTCCATTCAAGGATGTTCTTAACACACACACTGATTTATTAAACAGGTGCAGAATTCTGCTCAGTCGGCAGATGCAAGGCTTTATACAGCTTTACGTCAGAAAGAGAGGACGAGTTAAACATTACTGAAGGTAATATGGCAGTTCATTTTAATACATCATCCCTCAGCACCTGCTTTCTGTTGACTCTCCCTCTTCAATCTGGCAGGAGACGTACTGGATGTCTTTCAGAAGGACGACACGGGCTGGTGGTTCGGTGAGCTGAACGGACAGAGAGGACATTTCCCTTCCACGTACGTCGAAGAGCTGCCTGTTTTTACTGCGATGAAGTCATCTGAAGCTTAGCTTCAAAAGAGCACGTGAGAAAAAGAAAAAGGTCACTGACCTCAGTTCCACTGAATTATGATTCATTCATGCTGTAGAGTTAAACACACTTTAAACTAATTACTTTCCCATGACCTTTCCATGTGATTACAGGAAAAAGGACTTTTGAAAATCATTCAAATGAATAATTTCAACAGATTCACTGACTCCAAAGTACAATGTACTCACAAATCATACATTACTACAGCTTGTGTGTAGTGCTACGTGCACAAGAGCAATTTCTAGCCGATTAAATATTTTAGAGCAGAGCATAAAATGTATTTGCTACAAAAATTCCTATTAAAGGAACACTCCGACTTTTTGAAACTTAAGCCTATTCACCTTATCCCCCAGAGTTAGATAAGTCCATACATACCTTTTTCATCTCCGTGCGTGCTGTAACTCTATCTGACGCACCCACCGCTAGCCTAGCTTAGCACAAAGACTGGATGTATGGTTGCAGCTAGCATACTAATCCAAATAAGTGACAAAATAGCGCAAACATTTTCCTATTTACATGTTGTGATTTGTATAGTCACGGAGTGTACAAAAAACGAAGCCACATGACACACAGACATATTTTAACCGTATAAATACTGGGAACTATATTCTCTGAAGGCGAAGCACTGCTACTTGGGCGGAGTGATAACCGCAGCACCTGAGACGCGCTCTCTGCTCCTCACCACGGCGCGTCTCAGGTGCTGCGGTTATCTCTCCGCCCAAGTAGCAGTGCTTCGCCTTCAGAGAAATAGTCGCCTTCAGAGAATATAGTTCCCAGTATTTATACGGTTAAAATATGTCTGTGTCTCATGTGACTTTGTTTTTTGTACACTCTGTGACTAAATCACAACATGTAAATAGAAAATTGTTTGCGTTATTTTGTCACTTATTTGGATTAGTATGCTAGCTGCAACCATTTACATCCAGTCTTTGTGCTAGGCTAGCGGTGGGTGCGTCAGACTTATAGCACGCACGGAGATGAAAAAGGTATCTATGGACTTTTCTAACTCTGGGGGATAAGGTGAATAGGCTAAAGTCCCAAAAAGTCGGAGTGTTCCTTTAAGTCTGGAAAGACTTATATATATATATATTATTATAAAAGTTCATGTTTTCAGGTTTTTCATGACCGTGGTAAGCCTTTCAATGAAATACAAGTGTGTGGATATAAAACATTTTATCAAAATGTATTGTATTGTGAAAAAAATATAGATTTTATTTGCACAGTAATAAACCACAAAATGCAAATGGTTTAGAACTTCTTGTCACTGTAGTATAAAACTAAATTAAGACATTTCAAAGCACTTTTTTTTTTTTAAAAACCTTTGTTATGTTTATTGCTAAAATTACAAATCAATAAATGAATGTACAAAAAAATTGAAAGGTAAATAAAAGCTCAATATGCTTAGTAATGATATCTACAAATATGGTGTCTGGGTCTCTGACTGCTTTAAATGGATCTGAAATGAACAGTTAGCTTCGGTTCATCGGTCAGGCCATCTTTGCACCGCTGTGAAGCGCCACGAACTCTCTCCGGACATTAGCGAGGAAGGCGGAAAAGTTGTTGGTCTCCTGCAGTCTGCGTTCTAGATGTGCCATTTTCTCCAGTGGAGGGTCACAAGAGATGACTGAGGGGGAAATATAATCACGTTATTCAGTGCTTAGTTTTGTCAGTCATACACATCATACAATGTTTAAAAAGATAGGACTCAATAGGATTTAAAAATAATAATAATATTAAGCAAGGACATATTAAACTGATCAAAATTGACAGTAAAGACATTTAAACGGGTAAAAAAAGATTTAGATTTAGAAAATCGGTTGCCACTAAAATATTAAGCAACAACTGTTTTCAACATTGATAATAATAATAAATGTTTCTTGAGCAGCAAATCAGCATATAATGATTTCTGAAGGATCATGTGACACTGAAGACAGGAGTAATGATGCTGAAAATCAGCTTTGCATCACAGGAATAAATTACATTAATATATATTCAAATAGAAAATAAGGTATTTTAAATTGTAATAATATTTCACAATATGAAGTTTTCAATGCGTTTTCATCTAATAAATGCAGCCTTGGTGAGCATGAGACTTCTTTCAAAAACTTTCTTTTAAAACCTTGTAAATGAAAAAGTATATATTTTATTTATGCAATAATAATAATATTTTACCAGTATAAACCAATGCTGGGGCCAAAGATGAATACTTACTGTGGTAAACGCCCTCTGCATCAAGCTGGAGCAGGAACGTGTGGACCATGTCTGGATCTTTACGACTGATGTTCCTGAAGACAAACTGCAGCTTCTCACCTTCAAATCAACAGATGTTGGTGATACACCATCAAAACTTGCATCTCCAAGTATAAGACAATTATAAAAATGCTTTTAATTTTTCTCACAAATTATAAAATCAACAACAAAAATTTGTGTGAAAAAGCTCAATTAAAAATGGTCAATTTTGATTAGTGATCTAGAAATAGTGGTAAATCTGTTCATTTCCAGGTTTGAATCAGACTTTTGAACCTCACTCTATTTGAATGACGTATTTAACACATAATGAAAGAAAAAAACACCAACTTCATACTTCAGTCATATGCAATAGTTTAGCACAAAGACTTTACCTTGGATTTTTCTGATCTCAAGACTGAGGTGTTTCTGAAAGACGTCTTTACACTTGTTCAGCTTCTTCAGTCTGTCCTTGTTGGCTTTGTTTTGTGACTGAATCACTATAAAACAAGCATTAAGGACATCAGCAATAATAAACCGTTGTCTGTTGTGACTATCACATGCAGTGCAGTAAATGAAGACTTCTTATGAAAACATTTATGAACAAATAAAACTTGTATCTATTTTTTTTATTGGGCATACAACATGCATTTCATTTGAATTATATTCTTAGTAAATGATTTGCAAAAGAATCAGTGTTTCTGTGCAATTATTTGGTAGAATGTTTCAGAAAGTGTTCATGAATCACTCATCTTTAACGGGTAACTATCTCTCCACCTCCTTTATTTTAAGTGTAAACCATTAAGGCCAGGACACACCAAGCCAACAGTCAGACGCCAGGCAATGCCGGGCAGTTTTTAAGCGTCGGTCAGCTTAGTTTTTTCGGGTTGAATCGGCATCGGGCCGTCTGTGAAAGAGTGAACTCTGATTGGCTGTTCAGCTTAGAGAACGAGTCGGAGCACGAGAATAAAAGTGAAAGTGATGAAAGCGGGCAAATAAGTCAAGACGGTCCAGACAGAAAGCAGTTATAATTTTATGTTATCTTACCTGAGCATTTGAATGCACAAATATTTTCATAACATGAGCCGACTAGAATGAAAAAAGTGATAGGCGGTGCTTTGTTTACTGTTTGTGTATCTGCAGTCCTAGTTTTTGTTTCCCTTTTTGAATGACGAAAATAGACTATTGATACCAATTGATGCCTGCTGATATAGACTGATATTAACTTACACGCAGGCACACAACGCATGTGCTAGTCGCCTTTAGTCCTTTTGGTGTTCAAGCGCAGCTTTTTGGCCGAGACGCAGCCGACGCAAGGCAACCGCTAGTTCTTTGACGTTGGCTTGGTGTGTCCCGGGTTTTACACATCAACATAAAGGCTATGACAGTGCATGAGAGGAAAGAGAGGCCTACACACATTCCCTGTTTCTGGCCTGATCCTTCTTGAGCTTGTCAATTCTCTGAAATAAGAGTGCTTTGTGATGCTCCTTGTCTTCAATCTCCGACACAACCTCAAGCTGTTCAGCACTCTTTTCTTTCAGTAAAGATGTTTTCTCCTTCAAATCTTAAAAAAAAAAAGTAACAATATAGAAACATTAATAGTGGTCATTCAACTGCTTATTGCAGATGGCATGTACTGTATATTAAAATGTCAAACTATTGTGTCAGTCAACATCTTACCTTGTTTGTAAGCATGTATCATGTCAAACATGGTTTCATCCTCCTTGCATTTCTTAAAGCAAGTATCTGTGTAGGAAAAAATAAATGTTTCCAACATTTATCAAATATATAAATATTTGATGTGTAAATGCTTAGTTTTATGATCAAAGCTCTGTAATTAATAATGAACAAAACATATAATGCAATGCAATGATAACTGAGCAATGGACAAGTCTGTTGTATCATGTTTGTTGCACACATTAAGCCAGTTTTTTTTTTCTAAAAATGATGTATGTATAATCAAATAAACCTAAGTTGTTCAATACCTGTTTGTGAAATATTAAAACGTTTCAACAACATAAAAGTTATTCTTATGTTTACTATATAAAAATCATTAAAGATTTCACAGCAAAAAGACACGTGAACCACAACCTGAAGGTGGATGTTTTACAATTATACTAAAAGGCCTTTTAGTTGCTAAAAAAGCATAAACTATCAATCAGACGACAGAAGGCATGTAGTAGATTGATTGTGGGCAACAGTTTTTTCAGCAAAGTTTAGATCATGTTGGTAATTTAGAGGCCTTCATGTATAAAATATGATATAGTATGCTTTAGGGTTAAAAGCAACAAAATTGACCCTTTTTATGCATGTTCTTGGTCTTGTTCAGATTTCATCAGTGCTTTTTATTCCAAATGTTGAATTGTGAATATCATGAGTTTACTTTTTATTTGTCTATTAATTTTTCAATTCTGTGAATCAGTTTTCACAGAATTGTCCATAAAAACATCCTTAAGTATACTAACATTACGGCCTGGTTTCACAGACAGGGCTTAGATTAAGTTAAATTAGGACATTTAAGTAGCTTTTATAAACATGCCTTAGAAAAAAAAAAACATTACTGGTGTGCATCTCGAGACAAAACAATGGCAGCCAGTGACATGTTTTAAGATGTGTCAGTGCAAGTTGCTTTCAGTTATAACAGCTCAAACATGCAGTTTAGTCTAAGACTAGCTTAAGCCTTGTCTGTGAAACCAGCCACACAAGAGTTAAATGCATCACAATATATATTTTTTTCGCCATACCACCCAGCCTCCTTTTAATGTAGATGGATCACAGTGCTAGATAATTAATGTCCATCCACTTCAAATGCACATCTAAACTCAAACCATGATGGCAACCCCGAAACAATCCTGTGGATCTCTCACCCAAGACAGACTTCATGTACTGCCTGTGATCCTGACAGAGCTCCGCAGCCCTGTCATTGAGCACCTCTACCATGGCCTGATCCAGAAGTTTGGACCTGATCTCCTCCAGTCGGCTGTTGAACTGCTCCACTACATTATAGTCTCTGATAGATGCCATGCTGAGCTGCGAAATCATCCAAACACACAAACACAATGACGGTTACTTAACGTTAACGTTACTAGTAACCACCGCAGTCTGCTCACATTCAGGGCATGTTTATTCCATACGACATACTGTCTGCCTACTCTGTTCTACACCAATATAATAATATATAATAATTCGATATCCTATCAAATTAGCAGACAATAATCAATATGAAGATGTTATTCATGTTAGATATAAAACTTCAGTGCGATACAAATTTCATATTTTAACTTAATTTTTATGCGCTGAAATTGAGATGATATTGATTAAATGTTATTTTAATAGAAGCACAGTACATTTAAATCACTTACCCGTTTTATGGAATGAAAATAAACGCAAATGTATTCTTCTTGTTTTCAAAAATCGGCGCCTGGACCGTCAGCAGTTACACAGGAAATGGCGTCACATAAACGCGTCGTCATCATAACTACAAAATAGCGGCATGAAATTACCTCTGTTGTTTGTTTAAAGTACCCATGCTAACTGCTCATAGTATACATAATAAACTCTGAAGTATGCATTTTATTTTCCCTCAAAATGCTAGGTTTTTGTTATTATATATCTTATCTGCGGTCGTTTATTTTCCCTTAATTCAGTCAAAGTCCCTTTGATTCAGTAATGCTGCGCCATCTAGTGTAGTTTGAGCTCTACTGCAGACTGGTTTGTACTAGGTGTGCTGTTTCTTTCATGTGGGACATTCATTCCTAGTCTGAAGTAGCCTACATTTGAGCAAAATAAGCACATATTACATGTTTCTCATCAGGAACAGGAAACCAATACACGTTTTGAGTAGGAAGTATAATTTTAATATCTGACTGGCTTATAATGGGCATATTATTGTTACTGATTCTTTGTTCTGTTGATGTAGATACAGTACTTTGATGTATCCCATGTATAATCAAAAGTAGTGTATACACCTCCCTCTGGTGGACAGAGGATTTGCTGACCACAAATGTGGTTCGAGTAGAAATAAAGTAATAATCAATTATTTATTGTTATATAAATGCAGTATTGTAGCCTATAGCCTAATTTAGCAGTCTTATCTACCTAGCTAAATGCTAGAAATGTAAGTGAGACTTATTTTCATTGGAAGATAATCATGCAAATCACCATAGAGGGATTTCAGCGGTATTAGTGTGGAGTGTTTTCTACTCTTTAAATCTAGTCTTGATGCAATATATTAAAACATTCATGTGCACAATATTCAACTATTACATTATCATATTAAGCTGCTTGTTGCCATCTGGTCTTTCCACTATACTAAACTCTCATCTAATGTATTATCTACATTTTAGACTCCTATAATGTTTTACTAAGTTACCCAGATGAAGGAAAAACTTCTTAAACCAGTCTTTGGGACATTTTAAAGTAATTTTAGAGTAGTATTTTAGTTTATAAAATACTTTTATCGTCATTAAAAATCTTTATGACAGCTTTGTGACAATACAATTTCTACTGTCTAGACATTAAACAACCAATAGGCTAAATAAATAATGCCATGCTATTGTTGCTAAACTAAATGAGCACAATTTACTTAAAATTTATTTGCTCCTCATTGAAGTTACCTGAACTGTCTAAATACTACTCAAAGAAGCCTACATGAATAGTTCTGAATGTGACTCACATACAGTTTCATAAAGGTCTTTTTAATACATTACCTATGTACAAATCATAGAACAAAGCATCTGCAGAGTGACAGATAGACAGACACCAAAAAAAATACAAATAGATCACACATGACACAACAGATAACAATGACTAAGCATTAACATATCAGTGATTAAGAACATGTTATCAGTCCATTTCAATTGCCACTATAGTTCAAGGACACCATATCTTCAGCTAGTACATGACTGATGTAGTAATGTCTAGAATAGGCAGAAACCTTACAACCTTTTTGCACAAATCAATTGTTTGCATGTCACACATTTTAATGAAATGCATTGTCATTCAGTTTTTGTATATAAAGAGGTTGACTCATCCAGGTTGACTAACCGCACATGAAATAAGTATAATTTAAACAAAGTGAAGTTTAAGGATATTGTCATGACATATGATAATAAAAACACACATCTCAATAAATACATATCAATAAACACCTCAACAATTGCAATCTGTTTAAGCGGCCCGACTGGGTCAGAAAAGCCAACACTGGCTCAAGTAATAGCGTGCGTTTGAGGCAGGACTATGAGTCTTGTCCAAACATTATATAATTTTTAGCTAAGAGGGGCCCCTGTGGTGACAAGTTTGTAGTAAGCTGCTTTCTTAGCCATGAGCTCCTCGTGGGTCCCTTTCTCGATTACCACTCCCTGTGACATCACAGCAATGATGTCAGCGGTCTGAATGGTGGAAAGCCTGTGGGCTATGACGATACACGTGCGTCCCAGCCGAGCTTCATCCAGCGCTGCCTGAACAGTCTGAAGATTCAAAATCCAATGCGTTTTGTGCATTAAACAGTATTCAAAAATAATGACAATATAGTAAAAGTTTGTAAAAAAAAAAAGGCACAGTTTGCATTCACTATTGATATTGTTTTACCTTCTCGCTCTCAGTATCGAGTGCAGAGGTGGCTTCATCCAGCAGCAGAATTTTAGGGTTTCTGACGATGGCTCGTGCGATCGCTATACGCTGTTTCTGTCCGCGGGACAGCTGAGAGCCTTGAGCACCGACCTGAGTTTCATATTTCTGAAAAACACAATAGGGTTAAGCAATCATTTCTACAGTTCAGCCATACTTAACACTGTAATGCCAGACATGTGAAATAATTGGCAGAAAAATCAATGTGTTTTATATTATTGCAAAAATATGCAAATTGGTGCAGTTACTGATATTTATATGGACAAAAAGTAAGATGAAATCTGATAGCTTGTAATATCAATCAATGAGATTTTTATGACAGTATAACAGACTACTTACTGTACATTAAATGCATATAAATGTCACTCTATTTCACCAGATTATTATTTTTATTAAGAAAAGCATCTCAAGCAGTAGATTGTTATATAATTAAATAAAGGGGGAAAAAAAGAAGAAAAAAACATAAATGCCCAAATGCGGATGAACATATAATCACAGTAACATATGCATACATATGAACAACTAAATAAACCAGAGGGGGGAAAAAAAGAGAAAAATAAAAAAGGGTTTATCCAGAGCTCATCTCCTTAAACCTATTTCACCAGATTAAAACATGTCTTAGTATTGCATTGCATTATACTGTATGTTTTGCGCCCACAATAAAAACTACAGAGCTTTGATCATAAAACTAAGCATTTAAATATCATCTTACTAAGATGTTGAGAAATGAACAAATAAACTTTCCTCAAAAGCCTGATGATCATATGTGATACTCACATTTTAACACGATTTATCTAAAAAGAAATATCAAGTATTCCTAAACTGCTTCAGTAAATGTTTAATTGAAATATTACTAACAATATAAAAGTTACGTTTTCTTTATAAAAATCATTAAGATTAAACAGCAAAAAGACACGTGAACCACGACCAAGAAGGTGGACGTTTTTAGAATTATACTAAAATGCCTTTTATTTGCTTAAAAGTATGAACTATCAATCAGACGGCATTTAGTAGATTGTGTCCAACAGGCTTTTCAGCAAAGTTTAGATCGTGTTGGTATAGAGACATTAAGATTGTTTTAACCCTATAAAGTGCATGACCACTGGTTAGTAAAGCTAACTGACCCTATATTTTTTTTGTTGCATACTCTGTTTTACATGTAAATGCATTAGATTACAGACATAAAATGGGCGAAGAACATTTCACGTCGACTTTGAGCCAAATTAAACTCGATATGTGTAAATTTAAATTGTCAGTCATGATGAAAAGGAATGCATAACTTACATCAGGAAGTGTCATCACAAAATCGTGCAGATAAGCCTTCTTAGCAGCCTCAATAATCTCCTGCATGCTCACGGTGCGAGAATTATCGCCATACTGGATATTCTCTGCGATACTGCAGTCGAACAGCACTGGCTCCTGGGAGACAATCCCAATCTGAGACCTCAGGAAGGGAACGCTGATGCTCTCAGATGGACGTCCATCGATCAGCTAGGGCAATAAGAGCAAGTCGTGGTTTGATTTTTACATTTGCCAGGAAGGGAAATTGCTTCCTAATTAGAAATTGATTGTGTCACAATCAAGGATTTTACAAAGCTTCCTCGCCTTATGAGTATGAAATTGTTAAGAGATTTTTTAATAGTTGCTGCAGTTCCTTTAGTTAATGCCATGATTATTTTAAAATAGATGTCTTCAGTTTTACTGCTTACATCTGAATCTGGCAATAATTTTAGCAATAAGTTAAGCCATTTCAGAGGAAATACATTAAATAAGCAGTAAATGTGGTTTCATACCACTTGTCCTCCATCTGGGTCGTAGAATCGCTGCAGTAGTTGAACGCTGGTGCTCTTGCCGCAGCCGCTGCTGCCCACAAAAGCGAGAGTCTGTCCTGGATGTACTGACACCTCCAGCCCCCTCAAAACCTGGGTGTCTGGCCTGCTGGGATACGTGAACCTGCACCCTTTGAATTCCACTCTGCCCTTAAAGTCATCCTGTAACAGGATGGAAGACGACAATACATTTTATAAGGCAAAAAAAGAGGAGTCATCAATATTATTTTTGTTGTCCTGTCCTACAGTATAAAGACTGAACATTTTAAAGTATATCTGCTAGAAGCAAATACTGGCAACTTTTACACTAGCATGTAGTGTAGATGATCTCACTAAAAACCACACTCCACAAACTCCAATTTTTATTTTGGGGGAATAAAATGCATAAAATTACAGTTATCACTAAAATAGATAATGTGTGTGTGTGTGTGTGTGTGTGTGTGTGTGTGTGTGTGTGTGTGTGTGTGTGTGTGTGTGTGTGTGTGTGTGTGTGTGTGTGTGAGAGAGAGAGAGAGAGAGAGAGTGAGAGTGAGAGTGAGAGTGAGAGTGAGAGTGAGAGTGAGAGTGAGAGTGAGTCTGTGTGTAACAGTATATTGGATTCGTGCATTTATTCTTAAAGTGACAGCAGCCTAATAATCCTGCTGCAGTCTCTGATTGTCTTTGCCTTTTGTTGTTTGATTAACATGAATGACACTCACTGCTCTTGAATGAATAACTTTTGCAACTGTAATTGTAAGGATTAATCTGTATTTCATTTATTTTATTCTAGTATTTTATTTATTTGTGCTGCTCTCTGTAAATTGTTTATTTGTTCTTATTTTTTACTGACTGTGAACTTTTTTTGTGAATTCAATTCAACGTTTGAAATTAGGCCTGTGTTGTGTGTAGGCTATTGCGCCACAAAATTGTCCCATTGTAAAAACAAAAATGCACTGCATGATCAAACCTTTAGGAGAGATCATTTTTGTGAAAAAAATTCTTAAAAAATACCCCTCCCCCCTCAAAAAAATGTTTTGTCTGTAAAAATCCT